TCGACATTGTATTCTTCTGAGATAATACCTCTTTAGTTGTCCATTATGCAAGTAAGAAAGTTGAGGACCGCTATTAGATATACCAGAGGGTCCTTGGAACGAACCCCGTATTTTGCGACATTGAATCTGGTTGAGTCTCTTTGAATCGAGGGATTCAAACTGCATTGGGAACAGCTTTCTCTCGGTGTAGGCTCTTTTTTCAACAAAGATTCCAATCTTTACTTAAAGCACACACACGACTACTTTGATACACGTTATTCCCAAGAATGATGTAGGCGCCTTGGTGAAAAACCCTCTCCTACTTTATATCACCCATTTGGTCCCCCGTCAACCGGCGGAACCTTCACGTCTTAGAATGACATACCAAAACCTAACCTCACCCTAGGTCTGTTGGTGATTGTTTTCCGCTTCCCTCCCCAAACACCCTCCCTCCCTCCACTGCCCTCCAGCTGCCACTGCAGCACCATGTGGAATGACCGGAAGTGTGCTAAGCAGGTGTTTATATAGCCCTAAGAGTGTTATCACAACTATCCTGCTACAAAACATTGATATCTCAAATCCTGTAAGCTACCCGATTTGTTAGCGGTTTGTTTATCCCATGAGCTTCCTTATCACTCACTTCATTTTGCGGACGGACACATACATACAGTCGATATCCGAAAGTTGGGGTAGGTGTGTCACCGGAAGTGACGTGCACTTGATAGAAGTGCGTGGATAAGCTGTTGCCAGCATGCTTTGCTGATAGCCAGCGATGTATGTTGGAAGCAGCTTATCCACATAGTTTCTATCAAGTGCACGTCACTTCCGGTGACACGCCCACCCCAACTCACCGATATCGAGTATACACACAAACCGACACAATAAGTTAGCGCTTCATAAAATAGAAGGATATCAAAGGTCATGTCTGGCACAGCTGCTTGGGCTGGTCAAAAATTATCATGCAATGAACTCTGAAGAATTTTGGGCATTTCCGACCACTCTCTTTAGTGCTTGCCAAACAACCGTTCGTTACGTCCCGTTCACTTTCAGGAGTGATAAGTAGCCGCGAATCACTCCTCAACCATATCCGAAGCCAAAGAATTTGAGCCCTGAAGGCAAGGTTTGGTGTTCATGTCAAAATTAAGCTTCCCCGGAAAATGCACAGCGACATGCAAGCGGAAATCACGTACACAACTTTTGGAATGATTTGACAAGGCTGAAGTGCAAAGGCCCTAGGATGTAGCATTGGCACCGCCCCATGACATTGAGCCCGCCCACATCCATGTCATTTCGCTTTGCCGCTAATTTCAAACTCGCGGACGGTTTTTCTTCCATTTCCCAATGCAGGCTTCACACATCATACCCCCACTGTCACTTGCAACTCCTATAAGATGTCAATTCATGTTTTAAGGCAAGCCCCGGGATAAACCAATGCAAATGGGTGCTTCGTAGTGATGAAGGAGCTGTAGAATGAACAAAGTGGGAAGGAGAACAAGAGAAATCATTGGAAACGCTCAAGTTGATACCTTCCTCTTCTTATTCTTTTGCGTTGTCCCGCTTGGTGGCGGGGTCCGCTTTTCTGATGTGCTGACGCCACTTTTCCCGATTAAATGCTTGGTCGGGGTTGACCGATTTCAAGTCCGTGTGCAACGTGACGAGCCAGCGCTGTTTCGGGCGTCCCTTAGGCCGCTTTCCGAGGCTGATCTTACGAAATTTCATCACTTCCGCGAAGAACGTGGCCATACCATCGAAGCCGGGCCTCGCGCATTTTATCAGCAATGGGAGCTACACCAAAGCGTTCTGACATCATTCCGAACGCGATCTAATCGCGTGACACCAGCCGTCCAGCGCAGCATCTTCGTCTCCATTACACCAAGGCGGGCTGTCAATACCCTGGCCGTTGGCCAGCACTCAGCGCCTTACAATCCTCTGTCTTACTCACTGTCCCGGATGTCTATCGATTGTAAGGTGTTCTGGGATTTTCTTTCACACACGAAGTGCTGCTCATAGAAACGCCACTTAGACCAACTCGCACTCACACGGTGAGATCACCTCAATACTCATACCTCCATCGGACGATCGCTGATCACATTAATTGAATGTCGTTGTACGTGTCAGCTCTGTGCCATTTATTATGGTAGTGCTCAAAAAGTTAAGGCTTATCTACTGTAGACGAAGTGCTATGAGTTGCGCGAACAGGGCGATCGAAAAAGATGAACCTGCGAGAGAGCACGTCGTTTGAGAGAGCATGCTGATCTCTATATCAATAGCGGTAGGTGGGGAGCGTTGCAGGGAGGGTCGATGGTGGCAGGTTCGTAAAGCCTAGCGCCCTAATCGCGCAATTTCTGGCAAACGAAGTGACATATTCATAAAGCAGGTAACCCAGAATTTCCCCTGTGGTGTTCCTGCCAGTCGGACTAATACCGGGGGTTTCGCCTTTAGGTTCTGTAACAAATTTCCACCTTACGTGTGGGAATTTTGTATAATTTATCTGAATGTTAAGAGCTTCTCATTTTTTGTGAATCGGTGAGTCCATTACTGTGAGTAATAGGAAAAGGAACGGTTACCTGGTGTTATTAGAACGTTAGGAAAGCAAACAGCAAGTTGCTTTATTTTATCGTGGAAATCCTTATCAGCTTTTTGGTCAATAGAATAGCAGAAGAAGTTTTGTGGATGGTAACTAGAGCGAAGCTCATCCTCGATCAGTGTGTAATCCTGGAATATATGCACATGTTTTCATGGATGTGAGTCCGAGATTCATCTGCAACTACTTTTGAGTTTCCTCAACGAATAGGAAATCGATACTAAGGCGGGTGCACATAAAATGGGTAAGAAATGAGCATGTCCAAAGGACGATGATATTCCGGTCTTCTTTGAATTCGAGTTAACAACAAAGAATCTGATGGAAAGTAATAAATCGGAGTTCTCTCAAATTATGTAGGTTATTGTTAGGATGTCCAGAATGTGGTGACTTCCTTCTAGACTTTCTTCCTGAGAATTCCATCTCTATGTGCGGGAATCGTATGAATTTTAGAAGAAACTATCAGTTTTGTTCGTAATTTTTGTAAACTGTTGCGATAGTGCTGGATCTTGAGAGGTAGGAGCTTCAATTGACGATGATCAGTCAAAACGAACTCTACTTTTTCCTGGAAGAAATCAATCAAGGTTTACCGTACTTGATCACGACATCTTCCAAACATTTTGCCATTGTTGGTTGTCAAAAGCCTTGTCGTCGTTACCCTGGATGACCGGGATACCATGACGGTATTTGGAATAGAACTTTTCCGTAAGGATTCCATTTTAAGACATAATTCGATACGAAGCTCTTTTCCACTCTACAAGACGGCATATTTCGCTTTTATTTCTTGTGACCAAGGTCAATTTTAAGGCCAACGCATTACGGTGGCTACAATTGTAGACCGCTCCATTAGCTTTTGATATCTCTCAGCCGTCAAAAAAATCGCGTCTAAATTCAAAGTGACAGCGGTCAACTATCGAGTTCCGATGAAAAACCCATATTCTATAAAAAAATTACCAGGACAAAAAATTCTTGGGTAACCTAATGTAGATATGTATAAGAAGGCGTGACTAATAAGTAAAGGGTGCATCAGTGATTGATTGCTCGCAATGAAAGCAGACTTCGAATTGGCTGTTAGTTTGGCTACTTCTCCTCTACAGAACCTTAAACTTTGCAATCTTTTAATTCTGTTAATTCTCAAGGAACGTAGTAGTGAAACACATCAGTTTTGCTAAGCAGATGAATTTCTTTCACCAGAAAGGGCAGAAGTCAGGAAGAAAAGCTTACTGGTGAAGAAAGTGGAGTTACTTTTGGGCAGCCTAACATGTAGGACATCTAAAGAGTTATCGGCTCAATCGAGGACAACTCGCAGTCTCTTTGCCTTCTTGAAATATAAGGGTTTTGTCTCTTACTGGTTTGGTGTAGTACACCGCTTCTCTGGTATCCATTTCTTGGCATTCCCCTGGTATGAAAAAGTCCTACCCTGTAGACTATTCGAGCATAAGCAACACCAAATGCCATTGTATCCATCGGTATCGGCGGCATGACACGTTTTCTGATCTCTTCACATGACGTATTCATCGGCTTTGGGACAAGCACCGGTCGTTTGGCAGCTATAAGAGTGGTGTAGGCCTAAATAGTAAATGAGATTTGTGTGCAAATACACATAGATCTTATAGATTATATGTATTCACATTTATACAAATTAAGCACAAGCACACACAGCTTATGTATAGTTTCAGAAATTTCCTCGACAAGGCAATATTACACATGACGGTACAATTCACGCTAACCCAAGTGGAGATCAATTTGTCTCTACTTGTGTGCAACCCTTCGACCAACCCCCTTCTGACTATGACCACAAATTTCTTACGATCCAACCCGCTAGTTTGAGTTAACTTATCAAGGAAGCGGAATTCTCATATATTAAGCCCAGCAATTCGCAATCAATACCAATCGGAGGAAATTATTGAATTTGTCGGAGAATACAGGTACATATACCCTAGTGATGCTCTACCAGCTTGAGACCCATCGTTCACTGTAAGAACGAAAAAAACAAAAAATTGTGTTTGCAAACAAATTCGAAGAACCTGCTATCATTACGATTTAAAACCGTCCCCGCCGGACACTGACATCTCACACATCTACTGCATCATGTTCTATCATGGTTGTCTCTATTCTCAAATAACCGAACCTCGACCGGATCTACATTGCAACGCCTGATACTAGGTGCTCCAAAACGCACATCTTTCCATGTGCCGCCTTTAACCCCGCGCGACTTATCACGACTGCCCATGGAGTGTGGTTTCCGTGAGTTTGTTTCCTCTTTGCAAACCGAATCTCTGTGTGTGAAAGCGTAATATGTTGTCTGTGGTGATCACAACTGACACATTCATGTTGAAAAAAGGTGCAAGTTTTCCTGGAGAAAGAGATTCCTTCGATTGAGAGGTTACATAGCTTTATAATTTTGAAGCTATGTGGTGTTTGAGTTTTCTTGACGGCTGCATTGATGTGCCACTTTTGATAGCTGGAAGCCTTACATTGAGACTCGCCAGCTTCATATATACACTGCCTGTACGAGTGTTAGGCTTCTAGCTCTTGTGTTGGCATAGGTCTAGCCGTTGGTGTCTTAGCTTCAGTCCCTCTGGCACGTGGCACGTGAATGATCGATCATTTAATCCTGGGTTTCAAAAACATTATGGCCATTCCTGACGTTTTCTCATCTTCAAAAATCATGACAACTCCTAACCATCTCTTCCGTTTCTGCTCTGTTGTAAACATCAATACTGCATCGGGAAATGTCTCAAAGGCAGTGATTACGATAGGTTCAAGAAGGGTTTGTAGGAGACTGTGGTGCTCAATGGTACGCCAGTGGCGAAAAAAGCGGAGAAATCCGTCAAGAAAACGCAAAACGGGACCCCTTTTTTGGCCGTTGGTTTTCACTCATGAACAGGTAACAGCTCAGAAAGCGGACGTATGAACGAGTTCATCGCAACGCGTTTGGTGACAGCATGCCAATCCATGCTCCAGTCGAGTTGCTTTAGTTGTGCCGCTGCTGGCAACGCAGCTCGTCCAAATCACCAAGTAAACTAGTGGGCGGATCGCTTTTGGGGGCGGAGCTTTCGAAGTCCTGCTCAGCAACCAGCGCACCTTTCGTCGTGAAAGCGCCACACCTCGCTTCCCTGGCAGCCAAGTAATGTGATGCTTCCCGATGCGCTCCCTCTTTATCGTAATCGCTGCCTTTAACACCTTCCCATAGCCTCCGCATTTTTGCTAAAGCTCACAGTTTGATACGTGGGATAGAGTGCTAAAGTGATGTATGTAAACAACCACCATGCTTGAATGTCAGGATGATTTAGCGGTCGAATAATATTTGATGCTAATGATGTTGAACAGAAATGCCCATTGATCATTATCGCATTTCTTCAGACAGCCTCTACACACATTCGCAGGAAATTTAGGCAAAGTAGCGGTCGAAGGGAGTATGGTGCTGACGATGGAACGCAAATGAAATAAAAATGAAATGAGTCATGGTTCTTGTCTAGTATTTGGTTTGGAGCGACCTTAACCTTACTTTCGTGCATCGTTATTGGCGACCTTATCAGCTGTTACCATTTTCGGTCCACCACCAAAGGTTACCGTCCTACACTCTACATCACTTCTTGGAGCCAACGCCTCACTGCTGCTGGGACGCGCGCTATGAATTTCGTGAATTTGCGTTTCAACGCCTCTTATCAAACCTTATCAGCTGTTATCACTTTAGGCCCACCACCAAATATGTTCCCGTCTCAAACTCTACATCACACTGAAAATAGAGCGCTCCATGGCTTCAGCGAAAAAGCTAAACAGAGAAACAGTGACATAATAATAGTGGAATCACGTTAGACATAATAGTGACATCACGTTA